TGACCTCGAGGCTAGTAATAACTGTTCCTTACCTTTTTATGGACTTAATAAATACACTGTGGCCCAAACCCAGGAGCAGCAATGCAAATCTCCTGTGTGGACCTCAAAGGCATTCTGGGTGACATTCTGACCTGCCCATACATATGGATCTCTGCTGCCCAGGAAAACTCATCTAGAATATCTCTCCTCCTTGGTGTAACAGTTCCCCCGGTCCAGTGGTGATAACCATCAGCACCAATTAGCATGACACCCACCACATTTACCCATGAGGTGGGCTCCGCTCCTAATCACAAGTGCATCTATCAGCTTCAGCTACCTGGCCTAAAACCTCAGACCTCAAACTGAGAGAGCTGCTCAGGGCAAGAAGAAAGAGCAACTGAGCTCGGCAGGCCAGCTTTTCTAAAGCCAGGGGGTCAGCCGGGGTGGCAGGGAGTAGGCAGGGAAGACGGTGGGGGCCGAGTGCCAGGCAGTCACTTTCTGCAGGGGCCACACCACATTATGTGTCACTGTCTGATGGTTCCCCTTCTGGAGATGGGGCCAACTGGTTTTCTTTCTTTCTTTCTTTTTAGCAGCCAGCAGAGAAAATGCCATCACGTGACTGTGTCCATGTCACCATCTTCAAGGGTGCAGATGAATGAAAAAGTAGCTCGCGTCCCCTCTGCCGGGTGGTTAACTTTGGCCATAAAGGGGCAGCTGGCCTAGCCTCCATCCATCCTATGCCCTGCTCCTTTGTCCCCTGGGTCCCCTACCCCAGGGCCTCTTCTGCTGGCTCTCCGCCCCCACCTGCCACACACAAACATCTGACCTCTGAGGGTCCCTGTGAAGCTAAGTGGCGACCCAGACCCTGCAAAGCCGTCTTTTCTCCTCCGTGCAGCAAGAGGAGGGCTGAGGATGTAGCAGCTGGTGACGCTCATTCAAAGGGTTGGCTGCCCCGCCCTGCGGTCCCCCAGCCGAACAGAGGACAGCACTGCAGTTCAGGACTGTTTGTCCCCACAGCACCAGTAGCCCCAGCTACCGGTTTGGTGTTTGGCAAAGAAACTCTCAACAAGGAACCAGAGGACCATCCAAGCACACAGAAGCACAGAAGGGGCTGAAGTGAGCCTTTCTGGTTGAAAGCAAACAGAGCAGGGCCACAGATGAGGCTGACCACCCACATTCGGGGGATTCCCTTGTCTCCCTCCTTCGCCCGAGTGTGGGGGAATCCCAACAAAAGGCCCCAGGTCCAGGCCTGGGCCTTCCCCTTGCCCACTTCCTCTCAGGCTAACCCCCACTGTGGCCACCACAGCCACAGGGGACTCAGAAGGCTGGTGGCTCCCTCTTCACATAAGGGTCTACAAGACGGGTGCACACGGCGGTTGGGATTTACCCAGAGCCTGGAACCCTCTGTGTAGGCTCATTCCACTCTTCCTTTTGGCTTCATCTTGCAGAAGGATTAATAATAGTATAATAATAATTATAATAATAATAATAAAAACATAATTATAACCCTCTGTTGTGCTCCAGGTACTGTCCTAAGTACTTCATTGTTTTTAAAAAATATTTTATTTATTTATTTGAGATAGAGAGAGTGAGCATGAGCAGGAGGGGGCGGTAGAGGGAGAGGGAGAAGTCCCAGGACCCTGAGATCATGACCTGACCTGAAGGCAGACGCTTAACCACTGAGCCACCGAGGTGTCCCTGTCCTAAGTACTTAGACACACTAACTCCTTCAAGCACCATAAGGGAGAGACACCATTATCCTCTGTATCATAGAGGCCTGGAGAAGTTAAGTAAGGCCTAGAGAGGTGACACAGGTGGTAAAAGGGAGAGCTGGGATTCAAACACAGGCAGTGTGGCTTCCACAGTCTGTGCTCAATCACCATGTGAAGGAGGAAGGTATGGAATGAGGAAGAGGGAGCAAACAGGTCAGAGCAGCGAATCAACATGGAAAAAGAAACACATTACCTGGTACTTTCTTGATGTTGTCCGGGTTCAGGGGTCTGAGGTTTGGGGAGCAGTGGAATAATATAAAGAAAGAGCAAAATAAAACACATGCAAACTTATAGAGAACATCTGTGTAGTCACAGGGAATAGACACGAATCGTGATTGAAAGAGTTACATTACATCAAGCAATTTTGGTTTGAGTTTTGATGGTCTTTTCAGCAAGTTGAGCACTGAATGTTTAAAAGTTTAAAAGTGGGAGGGGCACCTGTGGGTGGCTCAGTCAGTTAAGCCTGCCTTCAGCTTGGGTCATGATCCTGGAATCCTTGGATGGAGTCCTGCATCCGGCTCCCTGCTCAGCAGGGAGTCTCCTTCTCCCTCTGCCCCTCATCCAGCTCGTGCTCTCTCTGTCTCACTCTCTCTCTCTCAAATAAATAAATAGAAATCTTTACAATATAATTAATTAATTAATTAATTAATCAAAAGTGGGAAATGAGATTCTACCACATGGTCCTGGGAGGAAGATATGCACGGGGGAAGTAAGCTGCCTCCATGACCAGGTGCCCTGGGTTGTCCCCTGGGCTCCTAATTGGAAATGACGCACTGCAACCAAACACGAAATCCTGGTTCCACTGGGTAGGACTTGTGCATCCTTTCTGACCAAGTCCCGAAAGGCCAGGGGGTGTATTTGGGTTGGAAAGACCTAGAAGTGATTGCCCTGGAGTCTAGGATGGGGAAGTGGGACAGAAGCGTGGGGCAAAGGAGAAAAGCACATCTTCCACACGTTCTGTCAGTCCAGCTTGGTTCCCTTTTCCTCCGGGAAGCCTCCCCTATCAGCCTGCCCTTGAACAAAGCTCCCTCCTTGCACTTCTAGAGCATCTGTGGATGCATGCTCAGCAATCACCACTGCTTACCTTTAGCTACTTGCCAGAGGCTGGTGTTGAAATTCACGAGCACAACTGGCCCTCAGGTTTCTAAAGGGACTGTAGGTAAGTAGGGCCTGGGCAGGCAGGTCTTTGAACCTGGTTGATGGCCAAACTTGCACCCAGGGGTCTGTGTATCCCCCAGGCACCTGCTGAGAACGTCTGAGAAAGGGCCCAGGTTCTTGGAGAGCACTAGGCGCCCCAAACAACCTCACCCTTCTGCAGTCATTAGAGGGCGCTGTATATTGGTTTGGGAAAACTATGACCCTCCTTCTTCTTTGAGATACCTACATTTTCTTCCCTGCTGGACACTGCAGGTCAGGGATCACTGAGGTTTGCTGTCTAAAGTAACAACCCCACATACTCTACCGCCTTACAGACTCGCAACAGTTCACCGGGATCCAGGTCCTCTGCTTCTGCCTGTGCACAGGCCTGGACCACATTTCCCAGTCTCCCTTGCAGTTGGGTGTGGTCATATGACCGAGTTTTAGCCAATGGAATGCAAGCACAGGTGACACACCCACTTCCTGGACAAGACCTTGGTAAGACCCTCCCACAAGCTTCCGGCCTCCTCTTGGCTGGAGCCCACCCTGGGAGCCCGGAGTCCACCTGCTCAGCCGCAGAGCCACTGTCGGCCAGGGTCCCTGGAAGAGCCCTTCCCACTGATGAGGAATCTTGCACAGGAGCAGGGCACTAGCCTTTTCTGGGCTTAATCCATGACAATTTTTGTTATTATTGTGGCAACTAGCTAATCGTCCCACTTCCACGTTCTGCACAGCGCGATTCTTCATCTCAAGGTCACCCTGTATTGTTACTTTTTTATTGTCTCCTCCCTCCACCTGAATGTGAGCTCAGAGGGGCAGGGGTTGTGTCCCCAACGGTGGAGCAGCTCCTGACACAGGGGTGGCACTCGGCAACTCTGTGCTGAACACACAATGAATCAGGGTCTCTATGGCAAGGCCCCCTTATAGCAAGAAAAGCAACCTGTTTCTGCTTTCACTTTCTCGTCCACCTCTGGAGCTAGAAGATTCACTTTTCACTGAACGAATACCCACCCTGCGGGACCCAGCCTGTATTCCCTCCTCTTTGAGGCCCTCTTGGAATCCTTCCCGCTGTGGTCGGCATCCCCTGTGTCCCTCAGCCAGGGGTCCTTCTGCAGTCACACTTGTCACACTGCACAGCAAGTACTGATGTCTGTGTCTCTCCCACCCCATCATGTCCCCCCAGCTAGACTGGGAGACCCTTGAGGCCAGGGCTTACTCTTCTGTGCATCCTCCCAGTGTTGAGCCAAGTGCTTCCTGAGAAACAACTAGTCCAAAATATTTAATAAATATCGCCAAAGTATTTATTGTATTTATATGTGATATGAATATATAATATTTATGAAATACTTAATACATATTTTATCATCTTCTTTAACTCTTTTCACTCTGCTTCTAACTAAGGGTAAAAAACTTCCCATAACCCCATGGATTTATAAGAAAACCTAAGCTGACGTCTGGAATGTTCTATAGATTCTTCTAACTTCTAGGCTTTTTGGAGCTTAATACTTTAATACCCCTAAGAGGCCCGGATCTTTTCATTGCATATCAGTACAAACCTGCCCTTGATCGGAGGCCCCCAAACATTTTCCCACCGGGGCCCAGGCCTGCTCCTGGCAACCCTGTGCACACACGGGATTTCTGGCTTCCAAAGTGCTTTCCTGTTTGACCCTCACAAAGGCCCTGTGACTCAGGCAGAACAGTGACTACTATGTGCATTTGACAGATGAGGAAACAGGCTCAGGGAGGTGGAGTGACTTGTCCAAGATCACGGTTTGCGTGTGTGCTGAGCTGTCTCTAGGACCAGGGACCCAGACAGTTCCTCTCCTTTTCTTCCTTTTCTCCAGCCTGAGCTGATAAGAAGAAACTTCACAGAGACCACGAGGAAGCAAAGCCACCACGCCATGACATGCGTGAGCGGAAGCTCATACTGACTTGGCTGATAAACTGAGTTCACAACAGATCTGGCCAAATAACTTCGGGGGATTGAAAGCTCCCCGCTTCTTCTAATTTTAACCCCTCTGGCCTGCCGGGAGTGTCTGTGGCTGCATGGCATAGCATCTTCTGCTGCTGCTGCTGTGTGGTCGGGGCCAGCACAGGAAGACAGGTACTTACTCGATTTTTCTTCTTTAACGGTGTATTCGAGCACCTCGGACGAGCCCTCGTTGAGGGAAGGGAAGTGGACACAGAGCACCAGGTGCTTTAAGCCGCTGTCCCGACGGACCAGGAACGTCTGCAATGGAAGAAGGGGGGCAACTCCATGAATCAAAGATTTGGGTGAAGGTTAGAAGGACAACAATGGGATGGAAGTCATCCAGAACGTTCCAGAAACAAGGAGGCAGTGTCGGGGAGTCAAGCATTCCTCCGGAGATCTGGGGATTCTGCCCCGAGAGCCATGTGTCACCTGGCCCATGTCCCCTGGCTCCTGAATCTCCATTTCTCATATGCCCACAGAGGAGGTCCAACTACATCAATGCTTCCCAAAGAATTCTGTGTCATAGACACAGAGTTTGGCAGGGGTGTTTAACAGGCAGGTTCCCGTGCCCCAGCCGTGGGATGCTGTTGGGTGGGTAGGGCCCAGAATCGGGGGATTCTGATATGGGTAGTGGTCCTGCATCCGCACTTAGTAAAGCTCTAAGGCATGGGGAGTCATGTTGATTTTCAACTCACACCCCAGCATGTATGCTCACCTCTACTCTCCCCCCAACCCTGGAGTCTAAGCCTCTCCCATTCAGGCCCCAAGTACCTGGGCTGGAGCTGGCTGGCCTCTCCTTCAGGGGTCCAAGGTCAAGCTGCCTTCTGCCCCCTAGGCCGGTGGGAACCAGCTGTGTGTGAGGGAACGTGAGGGTGAGTCTGTGCATGGGGGTGGGTGAGTGTAGTATAATAACAACTAGATCTGGTCTTTGTCCCCGGTTCCTGGCACAGAGCTTCAAAAACCTTTGGAATTTCCTGGGTGATAAGTGTCTTTTATTATTCATAATGAGCTGCTTCTGACCATACCTGAGTTCACACTAACAGGTGACTCATGGTGGGCCCCTGGTATCAAAGGAAGGTCTGGCCACAGAAAAGCCAGCCAGGAGAATAGAGGGTTGGAACTCGCAGGCCCACCTGGACCTCCTCCGCTGGGGAGAGGAGCTGGAGCTGGGATGGCCAACAGGTTAGTCCATCACGTCTGTGAGATAAAACTCACTGGAAGCCCTGGGCACTCAGACTCCATTGGAGCTTCCTCGTTGGTGAAAACACAGACGTGCCCAGAATCTGCCAGGGGAGGGTGTGGGCGCTGTTTGCCCCTTCCCACCCCAGACCTCACCCCTCTTTGTCCCTGTCATTGGCTGCTCTTGAGTTGAGCCCTTTAGAATGAAAGGGTCAACAGAAATAGTGCTTTCAGGAAGTTCCCCGAGTTATTCTAGCAAATTGTCAATCCTGAATGGGGGTCGTGTTTGCAGCCAAGTTAGAAGTGTGAGTGTGGGTAGCCTGGGGACCTCACTTCCGTCTGGCACCTGAAGTCCGGGCAGCCTTGTTGGGGACCCTGACCTTTAACTTCTGGGGCCTGCACTTACTCCAGGTAGTGTCAGAATGGGGTTGAATTGTGGGACACCCCACTGGAGTCGGAGAATTGTTGTCGGAGCAGAGTGAGTGAGTGTGTGTGTGTGGGCGGGCGGGGGGGGTGAGTATGGATTGAGTGAACGCTGGGCTGTCCCAGGGCCTCCCACCTGGAACTCTGGGACAGGAGGCCTGAGCTGCAGCTGGTGGTGCCCCTAGGAAGGCCGACAGCGCAAACCCGGATCCTTAATCCTGAGCTGGGGTGGGAGCTGAGGCTGGTGCCCCAAACTGAAACCAAACTGGGGGGGGGTGTCTGTCTTTGCAGGGAAAGCACACCCTTTACACATGTGGTGCCTATGTGTGGGGACACCTGCCCAGTAGGTCCCTTGTTCAGAGGCCATGCACGTAGCCGAGCTGCCTCTGTCTCGACCTCGAGTGTCAGGAACGGCACAGGAAGGAGGGCCTGTGTTGCTCAAGCCGTGGGTCATGACCCATGGGTGCAGATGCCACCCACTATTTTTATTTTTTCAAAATAAAATAGAAGAGAATCGAAGATGAGAAGGATGCTTATGAGAAGGATGGACTCTGTCAGAGAGTGAGAAAAAGAGAGAGAGAGAGACCTACAAAGGGCCAGGGCCACAGTCCAACGTAGATTTCTTTCTTACTCTGCCGGCCTGGCCTTCTTCCTTGACTCTTTTGAACTGCACTGATCTCTCCCTAGGTTGACTGCGATGACCAAGCATGGTTGCTGGCCTCAGCCGGGGGCCTCCTTGATGCTGCTCTGCAAGCTAATTGGCTCTTGCATACCCAGCACGCACTTATTTCTAGATTTCTTCACTCTGCTGACACATCGGTGTTGTGTTCCACCCTCACCGAGAGAAAGAGAAGACAGGAACTGCTCCAGCTGGGAGGAGAGTCAGTCTGTCACAATCTGTATCTTTCTTGGGCTCCCCCAGGGCCCCAAGCAGCCAGTCATGAGCTCCATGGCCCTGGGTAATTCTGTGATTTCCCTGAGCCTCAGTGTTCTGATCTGTCAATGGGGATAACAACACCAGAACACCCAGCAGACACAAGAACCCAACCACAGCCCCGCCTCTCCGTGTTGGAAATCCTGGGGTCGCACAGGAAAGCCCCCAGTGGGATAATCGGGTCTCCACTGATGCTCCCTGAGGATTCACTCTCCGTTTGCCCCCCGCCCTCCCACAGCTGGGGTTTGTTCTTCAGTCTCCCGGTCTCAGGCTCCCTAGCGAACTGGGGATCAGTCTGCTATTCGTGTTAATTGTGAAAAAGAACCAGGAGGGATCTCCTTGGGAGAGTGGTTCAGCTGATGCTAAGGAGCTGGAGGCTGGAACAGTGGCTCCCACCTGTGCTCTGGCCGCACTCCTTCCTTACATTTGGCCCCACTCACTCCTCACCGCAGCCCCGTGAGGTAGGGACTTACTATCTGTCCTTGACGGGGGAAGACTCAGGCCATAGAGAGGCCTAACACACCCAGGGCCATGCCGATGGGAAGCGCCAAAGCAGGATGCAGACCCAGGTGTCACCGGGAGCACCTCGCTTCTTTATTGCTGTCATGTCTGTGTCATCTACTCATTGGGGGGTAGGGGTGTGGACAGGGGTGGAAAGTCCCCCAGGCTGGGTTCTGACCAGTCCCCAATGCTGAATGCCCAACACGCACCCTTTCTGCACGGCCACAAAGCCTCACGTAGCACTTCCTTCTACCATGGCCAAGTCCTGGGGCTCTTATCTGAAAAGCCAAGATAAGGCACTGGGGGAAGATGGGGGGGTGGTGGGAGAGGTTGTGAGCTAGTGGGGGCAGGTTGGGGAGGGAAGCTGGAGGAGACCTCTGACCCTTCCTGCCTAGTTAGCCAGGAGGGAGGGGGACACAGACAAGGGTCTGCCTGGGCCACTGTCTTTTGGAACAAGAGAGTCTGTTCCATGTTCCCCTTTGGGGAGGCTTAGCTGCTCAGCTAGTCACAGGGTCTCTTTTGGGAAAGATCCCCAGACAGCACCCCAGACGCAGTGTTGTGTGTAGCAAAGCGAGGAATAATGCATAGTGACCCCTGGCTTTCTAGGTCATGGGGAATCTCCTATGCTCCACCTCGGGGTGGCCTTGGCCTATCCCCTAAGGAGGGTCTGTCCACAATGGTGGTTGCAGATGAGTGCACAGGAGGCTGAAGGGCTGGATGGGCCACCCAGCGCTCTTGCTCCAACACCCTTGGGGGTTCCATGTGCAAATTCTTCAAGCCCCCTTTGCTTCTCTTTCTACACCCGGCAGCTAGCTTTTGAGAGATGCAGGGGGACCCAAATCCCAGCTCCACTATGCACTAGCTGTGGATCCACGGACAAGCTGCCTTTAGTCCTCCGGGTCTCAATCTCTTCATGTGAGTGTGAGAATGATAATATCCATCTTTCAGGGTTGCTGTGAGAATTGCTGACTGTGTACGTCAAATGCCTGACACCGAGTGTGCACTTAATAAAAAGTACTTACAATCTTTATTATTGGAGTAGACTGCTCTCATTTACTGAGCACTAAACCACATGCTAAGATTTTTATATGCATAATCTCATTTGATAAATAAGTAATTATTAGCAAGATGATTACTATGTATCTTTTTCCAGAGGGGGAGATAGGAAGAAGAGACTCACGGACCATTCTCCTGTGTGGTAGATTAAAAATGGCCACAAATTCCTTGCAGCTTCTCGCATCAAATTTCCCCACGCCTGGAAAGGGTAGCCGTGGGACTTGCTTTGACCAAAAGAATGCAGCACATAGGGCACTGTGGGGTTCTGAGCCTAGGCTGTAAGAGGCAGGTCAGCTTCCACGCTCACCCTTTGGGACCATAGCTGTCACGTGAGGACCCCGGAGTGAGTCTGCTGGAATCACGTGGCCCAGCCAGCAGCCCGCACCAGCCGAGTGAGTGGGCCCACCTCAGGCCAGCCAGCCCCAGCCGAGCTGCCGGCTTACTGCGGCTGCATGGCGGACCCCAGGTGAGACCAGCAGAACTGCTCAGCAGAACCCAGCCCAAACTGCTAACCCACAGAATCGTGAGCAAATCAAATGGTGACCGTTTTAAGCCACTGAAGTTTGAAGTGATTTGCTCTGTAACAGTCACTAATGATAGAGCCACTGGGTGTATGGACATGGGCCCCATCCTTTGGGTACCTGCTCCTCTCTTCCTTCTAGGAGGTGCTGTGGGCGGGTCTCCAGAGCTCGGGGCGGGGGGAGTTTGAAAGCCAGTGATGTGCCCAGCTCCCCACTCTCCAGCCAGAGGAACCAAGATCCAGAGATGACAGAGACCTCCTGAGGCCATGTCAGTCGTTAGTGGCAGAACCAGGACAAGAACGCAAAGTCAATGACCTTCAGGTCACGGTTGTGACCATTGCAGGTCACATCCTCCAACCCAACCCACCCATGAGTGTCAACTGAGCATGCGTTCTATGCCAGGCATCAGGCTAGATGTTTTAGATACTTTGCACCAACTCTCAGCCTGGGGCTTGGAGTATTTTACCCATTGTACAGATGGGAAAAGTATGGGGGGAGGAGCAACAGAAAGAGAGGGAAAGGGGAATGCTCAGAGCAGTGGGCCTTGGGGCCCTTCCATGTACGACTTTGGCCTGCAGGCTCTGGAGTCAGATGGTCTGAGTTCAGTCCCTAGCTTGGCTACTCTGAGCTGTGTGGTCTCTCTG